TATACAACGCTTTTATAAATGGACTAAAAATTAGAAAATAATATTTCTCAGTCCCATAGAATTTGTTTTGATAACTTTTGATTTTGAAATTTTGGCAAGTCATTATAAACCATATATGAGATTGAAAATGAAAAGCGTGGCCCGCATGTAATAAGACTTGAATTGATATGAAAGGTAATACATATATGTATGTATGTATGTGGGTGTATGAATAACGACCGCTTAAAATCGTTCTGAAATTTGTACTTTCGCTATAGAAATTTTAGGTCTATGTTATGTAGTTTGACTTTTGTCAATTAAATCGAATGCCTTGTATTGCATGCGCTCCACGTTTCTCGTACCCATATTTGTATAGTTAAATATAGTGTTTATTTGGTGACAAAGAGATCCAAGTCATTTTAAGTCATGAAGATGTGTTTACGGCCTTACATTCAACTTCACCGAAGATTCCGTACTTAAAATGGGAAAATTTAACTCAACTTCTACCATTTATTCCACCTATTCAACAAGATTTTTATTTAAACATTCCCCATGAGAAAAAAGCAAACAATAAGAGTTCTAAGAAGCAAGTCAAAAGACGATCATAGTTCAAGAAGAAAATACAGAATCAGATCAAGCTCACGGCAGCGCTGTGTCAGATTACGATGATTAGATATATTTTAGTAGAGTTAATGTAGTATATTATAACATTTTTACATAATAAAATGTAGATTTTCATAAAAATAAGCTTTTCCATTTATTTTCTTACAGAAATTTAGCTAAGTAGGTACTTAGAAGTAAAAGGATCCAAGTGACACAAAAAAATATATTTCAGTTTTTTCCATCTGCAGTAAGCATTCTTTGAATTAGTTAATTAACCTGCATTCATTTAGACAAGAATGGTTCCAAATGCATTTACCCAGAATTTACAATAAGTAATGAACTTTAGCCTTAATTATCTCAAAACAATGTCAGACTTACTTAGATCCTTTTGATTCTAACCCCTTCAAATGGTTTATAATGACTTGCTAAAATTTCAAAATCAAAAGTTATAAAACAAATACTATGGGAATGAGAAATATTATTGTCTAATTTTTAGTCCATTTATAAAAGCGTTGTATATTAAAAACTTTTTTTTTGTATTTTATTAATTTAGTCTTACCGTTCCTATCAACTCTTATAAATTAATTTTATTTCTCTTAATTTATTTACAGCGCTCTTCGGCTACAAATTGTACAAGTCGTTAATGGAGAAGGAACTGAAGAGGCAGGAGAAACAAAAAACTAAACAAGCCAAAAAATCAAAAAAGACAAATTAAAGTAGACGATTTTAGATAATACATATATACAATATATATACAAATGAAATTGCGAATTAAACATTTGAAACTGGAATATGCCAATTTTTCTTCATAACGCTGTTAACTACGCTGCAGTTTGATGACATGTAAATGCAGTCAAATTTATGTGATTGCGTGCAATTAAGTAAATTCTGATACAGTAATTTGTAGTGTGTTTTAAAAACTTATATGTAAATGCAATATCTATACAAATTGGCTATGCAACAAAAAGACATACATACTTACGTAACTAAACTTATACATATGTTTATAATTGTAGTTTCTTGTAGTGGTTTTTAGCGCGAAAAATATACATTCGTACATGCACAAATATTTAATCAAATAATGAAAAAACGCACATGTACAGCGTTGGTTTATTGTAAGAACAAGCATGCATGCATACGGCCGCGTGTGAAATATGGATCGCCGATGTTTGTGAACTGCGCTGTACTTCATTTCGTTTCCTTTTTGAGCGCCAATTGTAAACAATAATAATGTGCACAGAACTTGTAATTTATAGTATATGCAATGCAATTAGTTACTTAACAAGTTTTAAAACCCAAAACAATAAATACGCATTACAATGTATTACGTAAGCAGTATATAAACCATTTGATTTATTTATTGACCCATCAGAAATGCGTATAATGTAAGTATTCAACTTGTAGTGATTTCTGTGTCGTCCAGCACATAGAGTTGTCCATTTGTACTATTAACCAATGGCATCGCACCGTCGTCCACTACTAGTAGCATATAATCCTCGCCGCTGGTTGTATTTTGCAAACCGTCCATATTAATAAAGACTTTCTCATCTGACACCCCCACTCCAGGAAAGCTGGCTACATTCGTTTCGAAAAGTACATCATTCATTTGTGTGGCATTTTCACATTTAATTGCTCCAGTTCTCATTGCTGGCTGGTACGCCTGCGCTTCTCTTTTATTTTTTCTTCCTAATTTTCGTTGGTATAAGGCATTTTTCTTTCGCTTACTCTTTGCGCTATTTTCGTTAGTTTTTTGGGGTCGCAGGGAATGTTTATTTGCGATGTGTCTATTGAGTAGATAACTTTCGATGAATGTAGCATCACAACCATCAACAATAGTATCCGAGCATCTGAAACTGTAACAGAAAAAAGGTGTTCAACACATATAACTAATTATTTCTTATTTGGCAAACACTTACGGCCTTTCATCTTTATGCCGCTTAATATGCGAACTCAATGCGTTTTTACGGCCATATATTTTCGGGCAATACGGACATTTGAATTCAGACTTTTTCAAATGAATAGCAATATGAATTTCTAGTGATTTTGCGTTTTTTGTTGTGAAATTACATTCGCCGCATTTATAAACTGAGTCTGGATGAAACTAAAGAGTGAGAATAAATTTCGATCACTAAAGTTCTTTATGAAAAAAAAGAAAATAGGCTGGCCACTTTAGCCTTTTAAACTTACATTAACTTCATGTAATTCCTTTTGTGAACGATGAAAAAAACCTTTATTGCAATGTTCGCAATAATATCTGCATTCACTTTCGTGCACCACTCGCATATGAGTCTCCAAATATCGTTTGCAGTTAATCACCTTTTCGCAATGCGTACAAGGCACAGGCACGTGTGAATAGTCGATATGATCTTGCAACGCCTTCTCATTTTTGTATGCGCAGGAGCAATGCGGACAGAATATATTCTCTACAAGGCGAGTAGTTCATTATTAGCAATTAGATAAAACCAGCGAATTTTAATAACTGTTACATACTATTATTATGCCTTCTACCAACATGTACGGCCAATGACATTTTTGTTGGACACACTTTATCACAAAATTGGCAGATGAATTCAGATGGTCGACAATGTTCAATATGGTTTTTTAGTTCATTACAATTCTTAAGTTTTTGATTACATTTCGGACAAGTATTTGGTTTGTGTAGGCGATTCTTGTGTCGTTGCAGAGCAGGCCATTGAGTATAACACTCTTCACATTCCTGTAAATTTTGACGTATAAGTTCATTATAACATATGCATAATAGTAAGTATAAATAAAATAAATTTTGTGCTTACGCCAACATCACACATAAGAAGTCGCTTGAGCGGTAGACTTTCTAATGAGCTTTTCTGGTTTTTATGCACTGATATCATATGTATGCGCTTCGCTTTTAGATTATCAAGCTCTTCATTGCACACAGGACAGCAAAATTTTCCATTGTCGTGCAAGCCTGTAGCACGATGATTTCTGAGAGAGTCCTTATTTTTGAAATCTTGTGCACAGAAATGGCATCTATAAGCTGCTATGAGTATCTCCTCTTCAATTTCACAATCAAAGCATTCCGAGCAGGAGTCTGAGGTATGCTTCTGTAGTAAGGAGAAAACTAAAATCGAACTAAATAAAATAAACTTGGTTTTCTTAGATACCTCAAGATTCTCTTTATCACTTCCAATCAAACCACAATTCGAACAGATGTACACATGAACCTCGGCGTCAGTATCATGCCATTTAAGGTGATTTTCATAGATGGGCAAAGTAGGAAATATTTTTGGACATAAGTCACATTTGTACTCAATATTGGTATGGAAATCCTCCTAAAAATTATTTGGTATTACTTAAGATAATTAACAGGACATTTTTAAAGCATACTTTATGTTTCAACAGCAGTCGTTTAATATGATAAGATTTGCTGCATTCATCACACTTATATTTTGGTTCCGTTTCATGTGATTTCTGATGTGCGCCGAACGTTTCCGTATCTGTAAATATGCGATCACAGCTGGCGTGGCCACATTAAGCACGTAAAATCATTTGCGTAAGTATTAAAACAGTAACAATTAAATAGCATTGCTATCTTTTATCTTACATCTTGCATGCCAGTTTTTCTGGTGGATCATGCTCATAATTGACATGCACGAAAAATTCATTTACATCCGTGAAGTCTTTGTTGCAAATCAAACACACCTTAGACCGCCGCTCAGTCAAATGAAATTGCAGGTGGAAAATAAATCTTAAAGCAGAGCAAATATATAATTTTTGTCGAATGATATTGCAAATTAAAAGAGTATTTACCGTTTATGTGACACAAATTCTTCTTTACAATATTGACAATAAGATTGCCTGCAAGCTTTTCGGGCTAACTTGTTATAGCAGGAATGTTTGTTGAGATGATGAAAATTTGAGTACCGCAGATCGCAATAGGGGCAAGTGCCATATATTTTTAAGCTAACGAATCCACAATTAATTAGTCAGGTAAGGGTTG